AAAACACTGTGGGCAACGATTTAACGGGTATTTTTTAAATCCTCAAATTCATAAATTCTTTTTACTTGAGACTTTCTGACAAAAATTTTTCTATCAATGGTCCAGGCACTATGCCACTGATTGTCCTTTCTAAACTTTCTAACCTTGGCAAACAGGCCGCGCCTGTAGCTGGTGAGGTTTTCATTGATGTAAGCAACCTTTATATTATGGAAATAGTTGTTTAAACTTACTGACTTTGGGTGCTTTCTGGCCTTGTACAGTTCATTTTGGCTCTGTAAGATTTAAAGCGAACAATTATTGGCCTTGGGTCGCCGTTGGTTCGTCTTGTAGCCATTCTGTGGCAAATGTCGATGTCATTGTTGGCGATATGGACGTTGAGAACTTTAATTCCCAAGCTTGATGATCTCTTCGAGGATATTTTCTTCAGGCGTCTCGGAGATACCATGTATTTCAAGATTATGCTTTCGAGTGTATTGCTCCAAGTCATCTATTTGGTTTATTGCTGTGCTGAGGTCTTTAGTAATTACATTTAGGTCATCATTCAGGTCAGCAATTTTCTCATCTACGCTGCGTGCAGTTTGTTTAAGCGAACTCACTTCTTGTTTGAGCGCTTTTTGTTCTCCGCCTCCAAGCTTTCTACTTTGCTGATGTGAAACTCTAGAGACTTCTGGAGTTCTTCATAATGATTGCGTAGTGCTCTATGTTCTTTAAGTCGCTCGTCGGTGTTTCTTTGTATTTTGTTAAGCGCCATCCAGATGCTTGGCAGATCGGCATGTTCGGCCATTAAGAGCTCTGTGGTCTTTGCAGATTTAGTTGGCGGTATTTCGGGTGAGCTGCTGCTGCTAGACCTTTCGCCTCGCTTTCCTCCAATTTTAAGCGGTGTTTTATCACTTTCGTCTGATTTTTCAGCCATTACGTTGTAGTGCGGAGAGTTAAAACGGCAGACTACTCAAAACTGCTGCCGTCCATTTTGACTGCAGTTCAAGCTTTTATTGTGGAATCTTCAGTATTTGTAGCTGTACCGAGCGCCGCCGTCTGATGTTACGTAGTCGCGTGCTACATGTGTTGTCACATGCATGTATTTAAGTGCTAATTAGGTTAGATTTCCAACCGTTTTGTGAGCCCGCGTTCCTTGCCCCACACCAAGGAAGAGGAGGACCAACAACCAGACTCCCAACAAAACGGCTGGAAATCGAGCCTAGCCTCTAACAAAGGACGCGAAAACATTTGGCTCTCGGACAGGACGTACGGACCTCGCTGTGCTCAGTCCATACATCATGTCATGGGGCCAAATATTTTCCCGTCCGGTCCTCTCACTCATTCAATAAGTACATATTAAGTTCTTGCTCCTCTTCCTGTCCCCTTAGGATTGAGTATGGGCACGTGATCAACTATGCCATCTGACTGATTCATTTGCAGTTCAATTCGTATTTCTGTTCATCTGTTCTCCTCGTTCCCATGTCCACTTTCGGTATTATTTACTTATTTAGACACTCACTGCGTTTTCACTGTGCTCACTTTTATGGGCCAAAATTTGTACCAAGGAATTTTTGAACTAAAATTTTCCGGATTTAGTTTTCTAGATTTTGGACGTACCTCACGAGGTTGCCTAAAATTACAGTTTCATTCGATCGTTCCTGCTCAGGCCCAGTTTCTCCGAGACCGTAAATAAAACTTAACATGGCTGATCCTCAAGCTTCTCAATATCAGTGCTCGCCATGTTTCCTATCTGACAGAAGACTTAAATCTCTCACTCCAACATTATTGCAGTGGTGGGATGGCAGCTCGCTGCTCGCCTAGATCCGTATCCAACTGTTTTATCGATCCTTCCTGTGGGCATGACCGCACGAGTGAAAAGCTCTTTAACTCGTCAGGAAAATAAAGAGGTATAAGTAGTCACAGACTCCATTTAAATTCGTAATCGTTTGTTTCAACTTCATAGTCGTCTAGCAACTCAAAAGCAAGTAAAAGAGGCAGAGAGTCCGCCATTTGTTTCCTCTTTGCTTATTTCGCATTTTCGCGTGAAACTTGGAGCGTGTGGGCCTGGGACGGGTTGGTCCAATACAGCTCATTAATTCATTCAAAAATAGATCTTATTAAAATCAACACAGGAACAAATAAGCTTTGGTTTCGGTTTCTAAACTTTTGTATTCGGCACGTAATGCTGAAGTTTATGTGTTCCTGTGTGGATTCTAATGAAACGCCGGTCTTTAAAACTACAGATCCTTGCACTGCAGAATAATGGCATTAACAAACTTGACTGCTGGGGAAAAGCAAATTGAAACGTTTCGACAACTTCGATGTTCGGCCGCCTGGGCAGGTGGAATACATGAACATTTCAAATATCTTTCAGCGTTCAATATTTTTCTGTCCATTACTGCAGCTCTTGGTAATACTCTGATCCTCGTTGCCCTTCGCAAGGTATCGTGCCTTCATCCGTCATCCAAACTCCTGTTTAGATGTCTGGCCACAACTGATCTCTGCGTTGGTCTTATTACAGAGCCACTCAGTGTTATCTATTCGATGTCTGTGGCTCAAGAGAAATGGAAACTTTGTCGCTACACACTTTCCTCGTTAGTTATTACAGGCTATACTTTGTGTTCAGTATCTTTGCTGACGATGACCGCAATAAGTGTGGACAGACTTCTCGCCCTGTTGTTAGGGCTGAGATACAGACAAATTGTAACTGAAAGGCGTACATATGTGATTGTAGTAATCTTTTGGATTATGTCCGCTGTTGCTTCAATATTTTATCTTTTAAATCCGCTAATTCCCACCTGGTACGGACGTTTAGTTATTCCTTTATGTCTAGTAACCTCAATCGCCTCGTACGCAAAGATTTTCTTAAACCTTCGTCATCATCAAACTCAAGTACAGAGCCATTTCCAACAAGAACAGCCAGGCCAAATAAATCCACTGAACATAGAGCGATACAGAAAGGCAGTGTCCAGTGCACTGTGGGTGCAGTGTACATTAGTTGCTTGTTATTCGCCATTTAGTATAGTGCGAGCTTTAGTACGCTATAGAAAGACAACCTCATGGAGTGTTCTTATTTTTGAACTTGCAACAACTTTAGTTTACTTGAACTCATCGTTAAACCCGATTCTTTACTGCTGGAAGATCAGCGAAGTGAAACAAGCAGTAAAGGAGACAATCAGAGAAGCNGAGAGTCCGCCATTTGTTTCCTCTTTGCTTATTTCGCATTTTCGCGTGAAACTTGGAGCGTGTGGGCCTGGGACGGGTTGGTCCAATACAGCTCATTAATTCATTCAAAAATAGATCTTATTAAAATCAACACAGGAACAAATAAGCTTTGGTTTCGGTTTCTAAACTTTTGTATTCGGCACGTAATGCTGAAGTTTATGTGTTCCTGTGTGGATTCTAATGAAACGCCGGTCTTTAAAACTACAGATCCTTGCACTGCAGAATAATGGCATTAACAAACTTGACTGCTGGGGAAAAGCAAATTGAAACGTTTCGACAACTTCGATGTTCGGCCGCCTGGGCAGGTGGAATACATGAACATTTCAAATATCTTTCAGCGTTCAATATTTTTCTGTCCATTACTGCAGCTCTTGGTAATACTCTGATCCTCGTTGCCCTTCGCAAGGTATCGTGCCTTCATCCGTCATCCAAACTCCTGTTTAGATGTCTGGCCACAACTGATCTCTGCGTTGGTCTTATTACAGAGCCACTCAGTGTTATCTATTCGATGTCTGTGGCTCAAGAGAAATGGAAACTTTGTCGCTACACACTTTCCTCGTTAGTTATTACAGGCTATACTTTGTGTTCAGTATCTTTGCTGACGATGACCGCAATAAGTGTGGACAGACTTCTCGCCCTGTTGTTAGGGCTGAGATACAGACAAATTGTAACTGAAAGGCGTACATATGTGATTGTAGTAATCTTTTGGATTATGTCCGCTGTTGCTTCAATATTTTATCTTTTAAATCCGCTAATTCCCACCTGGTACGGACGTTTAGTTATTCCTTTATGTCTAGTAACCTCAATCGCCTCGTACGCAAAGATTTTCTTAAACCTTCGTCATCATCAAACTCAAGTACAGAGCCATTTCCAACAAGAACAGCCAGGCCAAATAAATCCACTGAACATAGAGCGATACAGAAAGGCAGTGTCCAGTGCACTGTGGGTGCAGTGTACATTAGTTGCTTGTTATTTGCCATTTAGTATAGTGCGAGCTTTAGTACGCTATAGAAAGACAACCTCATGGAGTGTTCTTATTTTTGAACTTGCAACAACTTTAGTTTACTTGAACTCATCGTTAAACCCGATTCTTTACTGCTGGAAGATCAGCGAAGTGAAACAAGCAGTAAAGGAGACAATCAGAGAAGCGCTTTGCTGTTTTTAGAGTTAGTTCAATCTTTGCTGAGTTATCTAACACATGTACTTTTCTTGACAACGTTAAAGCTTCAAATATTGCTGAATTAATAGTATTTTTTGCATGCCTTCTCAACCCAAATTTAAGCTGTAATAAATTGCATTGTACTGAGGGGCTCATTTTATTAGAAATTTATGGTAAAAGATGAAAGTGTAGGGCTTTTTATTGTACACTGTTAGTAGTTCAGTTTTTTAAGCACCGCTTTGCTTGTTAATAAATTATGAATTATCCGAGATGGACACTTCATTATCTTAACATTAAGTAGTAACTACAGAGTAACCGTTAGCCTGCGAACAGGCTCCCAGCGAGGACGGGAAAAAAATTCGGCGAGCAAAGCGAGCGGACGAGCACGAAACTGAAGAGTTCGGAAAGCAAAGCAATCGCCTCGTTCGGGCTCGACGGAAACCTGATCGCAGGCTAAATAACCGTTGACTACCGCTTGAAATATAGGTTCAAGGAAAAGGACAGAATAACGACCGTCAATTTTAAACCGGCCCATCATTTATAATCTTAATAATTTTTTTGTCTCTGTGCGTTCGAAGTGGTAGGTAAACAGTCATCTTTTAATAAGAAGTTCAGTTTATATTTATGATTCGTACAAAATTGTCAGTAGATAACTTTAAATTTTAGTCTCGAGACAAGTTGTTTTTCTCGCTATTCAGTTTGTTAATTAGAAACCGATTTAACAATTTTCTAATTTCTCTTCTGAGAATAAGTGAAAAGTTTACTCTAGCCAAGATAAATAATTTAAACCTTCAAGTTCTGGAAACAGGCTTCAAGTCAATTTATCACCTGCTGGAACACGTCCAGAGCGTTGTTTACTCTAATTGACAGAACCTTCTTTCGATGTTGATCATGAAGTATAAGATATCGTGCATGCTTCCTCTTTTATCAAATAGAAAAAGCTGTCTTAGCAGCTTTTAGACGGCAAGCTCGAGGTTCCTATCGGCTGATAGCAATGAAGAGCGAACCCGCCTCTAACCGTTTAAGGAACCCAGTGACCGATCTGTCAATGAACAAAACGGATATTTCCATGTTAGAATTTTCCCGAAAATGGACAGTTGGTTCCATTTTCAAAGCACTCTCATGCGTAGCCAATCAGATTGCGCATTTACCTGAGAGTGGGTCAGTGGGTACGTTTATGTTAATATTATTTCTACAACGTCCTTATGTGGTTGAAATGCAGTTTAGAAACCCTTCCCGGTAAATAGCGATTCGAAAGAGATTATCGATTTTGTCAAATCAGATTATAGTTCGCTTGGTCAAACTTCATCCTGGAAGGCAAACACGCAGTCCTAATTTTTTCCCTGGCGAAGAAGACAGCTCAAATCTTCTTTACTACAATTCAAAATTAATTTAGCTAATAATGATATACTTGTAGTTGATATTGGTAAGTTCACCTAGAAATTAACTGCGGTGGCGCATTTGAAAACCTGACGTTTCTAGGGTTATTATTATTGTTACTGTCTACATCATATGGCAACTCTCACCGTTAGCGCACGCAAGCCTTCGCACGAAAAACTGACAGTGTTTACTCGAAATAAATTAACCTTCGTGTTTGCACGTACCACAATGTCAATCAGCAGATGGCAGACTGCAAGAGATTGTGAGGCTTTTTCGATATTCTGATTGGTTGCTGAGAAAATCTATTTTGAACCGGACGAATAGTATATTTACCAATCTTTGTCCCATCAGAAGACATAAGAGAAAACGTATTTTGAAATATCCAAAAGGCTCACATGCTTTGAGTCTTTGATAATCAAGAAAAATTTTGGTTAAATTTTGTGAGAATCCGTCAAATCTTTGTACCCTATATTTTCGCTTGAAACAAGGAAATCCGAGCAAACTTAAAGCCGAGTTTTCGGCTCCTAAAGTAAAGTACAGATTGCAGTGTATAAATGATGTAAAATAAGTTAGAGAGATGGTAACCGTAAGGAGTAATTGTTGTAGATTTCTACAATACCGAGTCCAAATATTGTAATGTTTTTTGTTACTTTAATATTCGTAAGATGTTGAAAAAAATATTTTGAAAGACGAAAAAGAAACAAAAGCTGTTAGTTTAGGGAAGTAGTACCAACAACACGTGTTTTATTGTATTTTATAAAATAACTGGGATACTACGCGCGCTCTGATTGGTCAATGGAGTTGTAAAACCTATGTCAGTTCTATTGTACCAGTAAACCACGGTTCCCGATACGCGCGGGAACTAGAGAACTCAGAACACTAGCGATAACAAATGTAATAAAAAATTTAGGCTTTTACTGGCTGCGATATCAATAACGCGGATATCTTTTCATTCAACATTTAAATGGAAATTTGCAAGGAAAAACAAAACCAAAAGTTGGTTGGCACATAAAGCTTTATCTTTTTTTTCACGGCAAGAACTTTACGCCGACACCGGTTACAATTGAGTTTAAAATTAAGAAAGTTTCAAACCCTTTTTTGGGTGCTTTCCACGGTCTGTGGAGGACGAGGTCAGCTGGGCTTGACTGATCAATTTGGGTCGTTAAGAAAGCAGGGAATAGATTCCTTTCGAGTTAATGCTTGCATGCAAAACACAATAAATGAATTGGGTTTCCATAAGCTTTGATGGCTCCTGATTTACAAGCTTTCTGAGTCTATCACATGTTCTCCCAACATCCCGCGTGGTTTAGTGCGCCGGTAAACCCATTGAAAGAGTGGTCTGCAAAACAGGCGGATTAGCGGGGCAGAGAGCGACACGCGATACGCGAGCGCGAAAGCGACCACGAGCGCGAATTTTTTTCGTCTCGCGCTTCTCGCTCGTGTATCGCGTTTGCTCTCTGCCTCGCTAATCCGCCTGTTCTGCAGGCCAGCTTAAGTAAGTGAGGTAGGTATAGCTAGTGTAAAGTGGCTATAGTAGTATTTGCAGGTAGTGTAAGTAGCTAAATAACAATAGAAAATGATAATAATATCTTACATTAAAATGATTCAAACTCAGAAAGCTGTTTAATGCACGCCAGTGAACTCGAGTATAGGCTTGATGGCAACCAAGAGTGAGGCGTCTAATTGTTTCAGCATAACCCACTGACCGATCTATCAAATAACAACAACAAATTGTCACAGAAATTTCAGGAAAGCGCAAAGTGGATGCCACTTTCAAAGCACTCATCTGTAGCCAATCAGATTGCGCGTTCACCTGAGAGTCGGTCAGTGGATTATGCTAATATTATTCATAGACCTTATCACGGTTTTGGAAGCTATCTTGACAAGTAGGCAACAACAACATTCATTTGGCTATGTTTTCTTGAATTTTTCTGCGGGAGGTGTTCCTCTATTACGTCCATGTTGTTTACCATCGTATTTACCTGGCTTTTGAGTTCATAGAAGGCTTGCAGTGTGCGCTGCAAGTCTACTGTGGGCAAAACAAGACTATTTAGAAGGACTTCTAGCAATGCCGCATGTTGTTCTTTGAATACCTCAAGTATATCGAGAAGTTCGTCTCGAATAGAGTCCTGCTTTTGTAAAAAGTCCAAACTCTCCGTCTTGAAACACAAATGTCTCCGTATTGAGCGCGCCTATGGCACTGAATAAAGTCCTTGTGAACAGTGTGGACAAGGAAACATTTTCGGAATTATAGCAGTTTCATACATTAGATGCGAGAATTGTGGACGTTTTTGTTTTTCATGCAATTTGAGTGCGTTTGCATCCCCATTTCAACACTCACGCTTTCGGACATTATGTAATTTTTTCGGGCAAGAGGGTCATCGTCCCCCCAAGTCCGAAGATGCCCGTGTGTTTATGTAAACTTCAACATTTGTTTTCATCATTTGTTGTTGTTAGAGATGATTACTTTTGAGAGGATATTTAAAACAGTCGCATAGAAGTTTGCAATACAATGTAGATAATCTTGGCACAAAGTTTTTGTCCACTTGTTACTCGTCCTTCTGATGGATTTCCTCTTAAACCTTTCCAAATATGCAAGGCCCATAACAGCTTGTATGTGCATCGCTCGATTTCGAAATAATATGTATGCCTTTAATTTCCCGTTCTGATCATGAATAATTCCGAAGATAATTTGAAGAAAAACTTGACATATTTGGGGAAATAAAATTAAGGCCAGCTCCACGCAGATATTAAGATTACTTGGAGAGCTATTTAAATTCAGCCCACGAAGATGAAGCTTATTTGATCCCGTGTGGATTCTGTTGAAACATCTGTGCCTATCTCTTGGTATTTTAGAAGCAGTTTTAAAAACTCCAGATCCTTGCATAGCACTGACAATAATGAATTTTACTGGTGGAGGAGAGCAAAATCAAACTGCAGTTTTACATCTTCCATGTTCGGGCGCCTTGATGAGTGGAATACATAAAGAGTTGATATATCTTTCAGCGTTCGACATTTTTCTGTCCATTACTGCAGTTCTTGGCAATATTCTGATCCTAGTTGCCCTTCGCAAGGTGTCTTCCCTTCATCCGCCGTCCAAACTCTTGTTTAGATGTCTGGCCACAACTGATCTCTGCGTTGGTCTTGTCGTTGAGCCTATTGTTGTTGCTTTATACTGGATGTCCCTGCGTCGTGAAGGATGGACTCTATGTCACTACGCACTTTACTCGATATCTTTTGCAGGCTACACTTTGTGTTCAGTATCTTTGCTGACGGTGACTGCAATAAGCGTGGACAGACTTCTCGCCCTGTTGTTAGGGCTGAGATACAGACAAGTTGTAACTTTGAAGCGTACATATGTGACTTTAGTTATCTTTTGGTTTATGTCCGCTGCCGCTTCGATATCATACCTTTTAAATCGCCATATAACCATATGGTACGGCTATATAATTATTTCATTATGTCTAGTAACCTCAATCGCTTCGTACACAAAGATTTTCCTTACACTCCGGCGCCATTATCAAACTCAACTACAGGGCCGTGTCCAACAACAACAACAACAACAACAACAACAACAACAACAACAACAACCAGGCCAAATAAATCCCCTGAACATAGCGCGATACAGAAAGGCAGTGTCCAGTGCACTGTGGGTACAGTGTACATTAGTTGCTTGTTATTTACCATTTGGTATAGCGAGGGCCTTATTCAGTGCTAGTAAAACATCATCATCTCCGTCTAGTTTTCTTATTGTGGCAGTTGCATCGAATTTAATTTACTTGAACTCATCGTTGAACCCATTTCTTTACTGCTGGAAGATCAGCGAAGTGAAGCAAGCAGTCAAAGAGACAATCAGAGAAGCGCTTTGCTATTTATCGAGTTAGTTCAGCAGTCATTAGAGCCGGTTAACCATGTATTTTTCCTTACAATGGTAACGCTTCAAATATTGCTGCATTAAAAGTTGTTTCTACACGTTGCTTAGACAAAATATGGTTTTGTAAGGGTTAGATATTAATTCTTTCACTGACATGAGTTAGATGGTAACGCTGTATTAACTTGAAATAGCCCTAGGAAAAAGGACAGGTGGAAAAACTGTTTAATTCAAACACGTCATTTGTACATTCATAGGGTGAAAATTTCTTAGGCATACTATAATACAACGCTTCGAATGCGCGCAAACCTTTTTGAGTTTTGACATCACGGTTTTAGTACTCCCACACAAGTGAATAAGGCTTTTCTCGCGTTTCGATTGGTTAGCTCGGAAATAATAGTAATAATGATAGTACTATTCGCCTCTACTTCGGTGAATAATTGTGTATTAAGCAGATGCGAACAAATTTACCTAAAGGAAATAACATCCCGCTTATTAACCAGTTTCAGTGTCCTCAAAACAGTAGAAAAAGAGGATTTTTTAGAACAAGAATTTGTGTTCCGTACAAAATTGTCAGTAAATTATGTTGTTTAAATCTTAATTTTTTGAAACGTTGTTCTACTAGCCATTAAGTTTGTACTTTGGGAAATAATTTTTCTTCTGAGTGTTAAGTGAGTAGTCGACTCTAGATATAACGTCTGAGTGCGCAGGAACTCTTCAAGTCAATTTATCGCCTGCTGATTAAACAACACGTCATGCTAATTGACAGAACTTTCTTTTCATATTGCAGGGTATAAATAATGTAAAAGAATTTCGATGGATGGTAACCGCAGGCAATATTTGTTATAGATTCTTACAATATCAAGTTCAAATATTGTAATATTCATTGCCACTTGTTCGTAAGATGTTTAAAAAATTGAAAGGTGAATGTAAGGACCATTTGTCTGGCAGACATAAGACCTCTTTATATGCGTGACAAACAAACGATCTACTGTAATAAAAACCATCCAAGTCCTGCTGCGAACCGAAATAACTTAGGGTAATAGTACCAACAACATGTATTGTATTGTATTCAAGGGATTATCAAGGTAAGAGAGCGAATCCCCCATATAGGTCCCTTAACTAAGGTAATCCCTCTTAAGGTCATTCCCCAGTATTACATTGCGCATCCCTACCGCGCATAATTTCACGCCTGATTAGCGCGCGCGCATTAAAAAATGGCGGCTTTGTCTTTACGGCTGGACCTCTGCATAGAGGTAAATCGTCATTTTCTCGCAAACGAGTATGGTGACCTATCATTTTTATTTTTTCTGTTGTTTTGAATTGAGTAATAAATTTCTCTGTGTAAAACAAATACGGACCAATTCTCAGTGTAGAACAAAAAACAATGGTCGGAAACGAATTTAACAAGCAATCGTGACTACAATCATAGTGCTATTATAAGGATTTACTGGGTATAAACAAGGTGCTGTTGCTCCTAAACGAACATGGGGACCCCTCATTTATATTTCAAAATGTAAGTTCCTATAATATAAACAATCAATAAGCAAAGTTTCACGAAAATCTCAGTGCAGGTTCTATTTCAGTGGAATGACGTTAAGTTTTTTTAGACATGGTACCCAGTTCTTCCGCGGATATTACTCGCGCGTTGCGTGGATGTTTTCGTGGAGGATCTGTTTATATTTCGTTTCGTTTCAAAGCAAAGGAAAATCTCCAACGCTGTGGGAATGTCTTCTTTGATATTTTGATCACAAGCAAAGGAACTTCGGCTCTCGGTACGTTTTAATACACTTGGAGACTTAAATAGGAGTTAAAATAAGAGACGAATGTCCCCTACACAACCAATAACAACTGAATGAACGGCAGACAAATGAGTAGACAAACGAGTGCAAAGCAAACAAACGCCCAAACACAAGCTAGGCAACCGAACAAACAGATGGTCCAAAGTGGAGAAAGATGGTCGCTGCCCAAGTAGCAAAAGCAGTTTAAGCAGCAACGGCAACAACGCCAAAGGCAACATCGATTAAAAAACGACTTAATATTCAACCTACGAATCTCGCGGGAATTTGGATTCATTCAGTTTGTCTTTGCTGTCAGAAATATCCCAAACAGACAGCGTCAAAATTCAAAAAAGTAATTTTCAAAATTGGCCGTCGTATAGTTCACGTTCTCTCGAATATACAGAATGTGGCTATTTTACGTTGTTGTTTTGTGACCTTTTGTAAACAACGGCAAAGAAATGAACAAAGAATTTTGGCGCACGCTTACGTAGCCATTGTACTCGTTGCCGTTGCCTTTAAAGTTCAGCTTAATTAAACTCCCTAAAACCGAATAAACAGCCAAATACTGAACAGCCAAACGAGCACAAAACAAAAGAAAGCCCGGCCAAACAAAAAGACGGCTGAGAGTGCAGAAAACATCTGGCTATGAGACGAAATCAAAACATATAAAATGGTGTTCCCGCCATTTCGTCTCAGGTAGTTTCGAGAAAGTCGCTTCGGCTGTTCACGCCTCGCGCGAGTAGCATCCTTGGAAGAACTGGGTACCATGTCTAAAAATAACTTAAGAAGGATTACCTTAGTTAGAGGACCTATATGGGAAATTCACTCTCTTACCTTGATAATCTCTTGATTGTATTGTATTGTAAGTAGTGTAGTGTGAGTAGTAGTCAGGTAAGTAGTGTAAATAGCTCTGTTGAAAGTAGTGTAAGTAACAATAATTATATCACATTTGAAAATTGAGAAAGCTGTCTAAATTTCAATTAGACAGCGAGCTGATAGCAGTCAAGAATGAGGCGTCCAATGTTTTTCACATAACCCATTGACCGATCTGCCAAACAACAAAACATCTATTTCAGAAATTTCACGAAAAAGGGAAGTTGATGCCATTTTCAAAGCATTCCCGTGTAGCCAATCAGATTGCGCGTTAACCTGAGAAAAAAACAACAAAACATCTGTTTCAGAGCAGTAAAACATCTATTTCAGAAATTTCGCGAAAAAGGGAAGTTGACGCTATTTTAAGAGCACTTCTGTGTAGCCAATCAGATTGCGCGTTAACCTGAGAGTCGTTCAGTGGGTTACGCTAATATTATTTGTTGGAACCTGCTCCAATAATGTTCTTTTATGGTTGCCATACAGTTTAGAGGCCACTCCCGGTAAATAGCGATTCTGAAGCAAATTTCATCCTGGAAGCAAACACGCCGCGCTAATAAGACAGCAGATCAAACCTTCTGAAGGGGTACAATCTATAAAACGAGTTATTTCCTTATCAAACCCATCTATTCAATGTCACTAAATAATTCATTACCTGCGCGCGCTCTGATTGGTCGAAAACCCATGTTTTATCAGAGTAGAAAACAGAGAAAAAGCGTGTTTTATTGTTTTTCGCCACATCACCTCTATATCATAAAGCAAATGAAGAAGACTAAGCCGTGTATCACACTGTGATAAGACATTCCACTGTGGTAAAACACTTCTCAAATGCCCGTCGTGTTTTATTAGTAGGGACTTTAAGCAAAGACAACGCGGACGGCGACGGGAACGCCATAAGATCAGGGAAAAGCCAAAAGGTCCACTGCGCATGACTGGCGGGAAACAAGTTGACGTTCTGCGTTCGAGCCCGACGTGAGTGAAGCTCATTTCGCGTTGTCTGAAAACGTGAGTTTTCGCTTTCGTTTCCTCTGCTGTGTCAACGCTAAATAACCCGTGTTACTAA